GACTTAGGAATAGAACCGGAGACCCCTTGCCCAGCAGTCCCACTTGCGACCACTCGGCCAACGAGGCAGTATGCACTTAGAACAGCCGGTATTTCTTAAAACTAAAACCATGTACCCAATTTATATAAACGTGTCCACGCTGTTAGTCTAGTCGGCGGATTCAATTCGACATCAAAATCCACTTATTGATTTTCAGTGGGTTCCGTGAAATAGAACGATTCGAAACGTAGGTACCGGATAAATTTGGTCTTTGTTCGAAGTAAGTGCTGCCAATTTACTCAGTTCGATTTTGAATTTAAGACCTTAATCTTAACATACCATAAGTTGGTAGGAGAGGTTTTGAGAATATTTTAATATTATAAGAAACTAGCAGCCCGTCCCGGCTTCGCACGGGGTAGACAATTATTTATTTTTGGAAATTTGGATTGTTGTAGTGACATAACTACAATAGTTGGACATATGCTACCGCGGAGTTTTTTGTAGACATTATGATGTTCTTCAATATTGCTGTACATTACTTTGTTCTATCGCTAATAGTTTCGGCAGCGCATTCGACGAAAGACATTTTAAGACTCATTTTTCTACACCTTCGGTTACATTGTTCAAATTTTACCACGGAACCCTAATTTTTTTCAAAATGAAATGTAGCCTATGTCTAATTGAAAGAATGTAGCATTCTATTGGAGAAAGAATTTTTTTAAATCGGCCCAGTACTTTTTGTGCATAATCATTACAAACACATAACAATAGGTACAAATCTTTCCTCTTTATAATATTAAGTTTTTTTTTTAATGGGGAAAAATCATCGAATGACTGCTCCCGTCTGGGTGAGGCGGGAGGGAGTGTCAGACTCTTTCTGACTAAAATCCGTCCCGTTCGAGCTTCGAGCTGGAGCCCCGGTTGACAAGAGGTTGTCCGCAGTTGAGTTCTCATTATAAAGAGTAGAAGAGTATTTTGATGATTCCCCTCATTAAACAAGTGGTATCTATATAATATTCGAATTAGTGGTGCTCTATGGTATCTCCCTCTCCCCATGCTATAATAACACAACATAATATAACATCACGCCTATTTATCACCGAAGGGGTAGGCAGAGGTGCACATTACGGCACTTACGGTATTATGTGACACCCACTTTTCACTATTTATGTTATGAGTCCCATATAATAGGTGGTGAGCCTATTGCCATATACCGGGCACATTTCCAGGCTCCGTGCTACTACTGAGATTTTTAAAAACCCAGTAAACTTTGCCTGACCATTGATTTGAACCCGAGACCCCTTGTCCGGTAGTCGCACTTGCGACCACTCGGCCAACGAGGCAGTCGATGTATAATAACATGAGTTTATTATTGTACTGTACCAATGTATGTACTTCGATATTATGTAACTGATCTATTATCTATGTTGTGGTCTGGTCAATAATTTGTGCAAAATCATCATAACATAACATTTTATTGTTATCTAACCTATTCAATGATTTTGCAGTTTTATGAACCGGTTTATTTTATAACATTTGTTTACATTATGACGTTGCAGTTTTTTGTAGATAAAAAATATTGTTACAAATTATTTGTTGTGCTTTTGTATTTAATATTGTGTAGGTACAACAAATCTATTTTATGATTTATTGTATCAACACAAAACAAAATAATCAATAATGTGCTATTTATCTGATGCCTCCAAACAGTACCTATTTATAGATTTAATATTATTTGTAGATAAATAACTATACTTGCCTTTTTTTGAGGGGGGAAAATCATCCAATGACTTCTACCACCCGGGTGAGGCGAGAGGCAGTGTCTTACTGACTAAAAACAATCCCGTTCCTGCCCTTCGAGCCGGAGCCCCGGGAACCCGTTAAGTCTTCCGCGGCAACTATACTTGCCTTACGGTGGTGCTAAGGTAACTTAGCAACTACTTCGATTACTTTTTCCGATTATATTTCTTACAATTTTTTGCCATTCAACGTGGCAATGCTCCCAGTCTTTTGGGCACCGTACCTCACGATAACATTGAGGAATTTTTTTTTTGGTGCCTTGAGCCTAAGGTGTCATCATCAATAGCCTATAAATGCACACTGCTGAGCAAAGCCTCTTCTCACACGGAGAAGGTTTGAGCATTATTCACCACGCTTCCTTAATGCGGGTTGGCGATGTTAAACTTGTAATTAAAAATTATAAGCCTAGGTTTCCTCACGATGTTTTCCTTCACCGTTTGTCAGAAATTATTTTTTAGTCTAACCTTATAATTTTACAATAATAGGTAATGTGCAATCGACACTTCTGAAGTTACTTGGCCTTAGTTTAATGCGTTAGATAGTTGCTTACATTTTTCGTAACTACATAATAAAATGTGAAAAAATCGAAACGTGTTACAATAATCTACAATATATTAAACAAAATGTCCCAAAATAAATGCGATAAGTATCGATACCGATAGTACCTAGCGCTATCACTTACACAGTCGCAAGTTTATCATCTTTCGATATAATGAGTAATTAAAGTATCAGCTTTAGTTGCATTAATATGTCATCAATTCTTTATTTTTTTATGCCAAAAGGGCTTTTATTTCACTCTTTACTTCACTCACTATGGCTATTTTACTCTTTGCCTTTGACCCGTGGTCAGAAACAACAAAATTAATGTACCTACGCGCTAATTTTGTATTGGAATTCTACATCAAAACATCTTCTTTCCAGAACTCCTAATTGTAAACTAGTCAATTAGTGGTATTAACTTAACCCTACAGCCCACAGGCGGCGTGTCATTCGACAAATGCATTTGTTAAACGACAATAAAAACATAAATGACGACAATACAGCCTATAAATGACAAATGCTTGCATTCTATGAGGTAACACGATCCACTTAATGTGAGACCGAGAAATTGCGATGTACAACTAATTCCCAGAAATATCAAGTAGTTATGTTAAATATTTTTCATAACATAATATCACGCCTTTTATCCCCGAAGGGGTAGGCAGAGGTGCAGATATGCCACTGTACAATGTTACACCCACTTTTCACTATTTATGTTATGAGTTCCATGTAATAGGGGGTGAGCCTATTGCCATATGCCGGGCACAATTCCAGACTCCGTGCTACTATTGAGAATTTTTAAAATTCCCAGTAATATTTTGTCCAACCCGGGCCGAATCGAACCAGAGACCCCGTGTTCGGCAATCGCACTAGCGACCAGGCCTGCGGACGGCACGGGCCTGCGGATGGCGAGCACGGGTGACTCGCCGCCCGACCAGAACCAGGCCCGAGCGTACGGCGCGCCACGTTCCGCGCGCGCCTCAAGGAGCCATCAGAGCCTAACAGGGCTGATGCCGATACGGAGCCGCGGAAGACTTAACGGGTTGCCGGGGCTCCGGCTCGAGGTGCAGAAGTAGGAATAGGGTGGTTTTTAGTCAGTAAGCGTCTGACACTCCCTCCCGCCTCACCCGGGCGGGAGAAGTCATTGGATAATTTTCCCCCCTCAAAAAAAAGGCCCCAACAATCATCAAACTTCAAAAACCCGGTAACGCCCTTGTAACGCCTCTGGTGTTCCAGGTGTCCATGGGCGACGCCGATTGTTTACCATCAGGTGATCCGTCAGCTCGTTTACCGGCTCATGCCATAAAAAAAACTTGGGTTGCTCACGTGAATATACTGAGAAAAGCTCTACTAGTTTCGAGCCACAGTTGGTTGTGCGAAATCGCCACGACCGCACACGCTGCTCATGAGGAAGAGCCACTCTTGTGGCTCGAAACTAATAGGGCTGTTCTCATAACATTTCTCGGAATAAACACAATATACACGTGAGGAATCTGCAATTTTTAGTTAATTTACTATGTCTTACGATAGTTAATGTATAAAACATATCACTTATCTGTTGTATTTTTATTGTAATTAATATTTAGATGCTCTAACTGCCTAACTAAACGAGCTTACATACAGTATAAGATGGTTAGCACAGTTACTGCCGGAGTTTGTCAGCTCAGAAGTTGATGCGGCTATAATATAAATGGTTTACCTAATTTATAAAAATGTTTAATTAATAGATATATTTTTTTTGAGGTGTAAATATTTTAGTTTTAAATTATTTATATTTTAAGTTTTATATATTTATTTCATTTAAATTCTTATCAATAATGTAATAATTGAGCAATAGTTTTAATAATAAATTAAATAGTTTAGTCAGTTAACATTAACATTTTCTTGAATAAATATATTTGCATTTCTTTATTAATATTAAATGGTTTTATTTAACGAACGGTGCCGAATAAATTCATTAACGATGTTTGGCATTCGGCATCATTCCCTTCCACTCCGAATGAACAAAAAATGAACTGTCAACACACAGACTGAACGTTCACTCGGATTTTATTAGACAAACATCACGCCTTTTTATCCCCGAAGGGGTAGGCAGAGGTGCACATTTCGGCACTTAATGCCACTGTACAATGTAACACCCACTTTTCACTATTTATGTTATAAGTCCCATGTCATAGGGGGTGAGCCTATTGCCATATACCGGGCAGATTTCCAGACTCCGTGCTACTACTGAGACTTTTAAAAAACCCAGTAATACTTTACCCGACCCGGGAATCGCACCCGAGACCCCTTGCCCGGCAGTCGCATTTGCGAACACTCTGCCAACGAAGAATTTTATTAGATGATCACAAATTAAACTGATTCCGAGACGCACGACATCACTCGATTACATTAAGAAAAACAATGAACATTCATTTCTTTGTCATTTCAGTGGCAGACTTTGAACATGAGTCCAAAGTAGCAGTACTTTGGACGCACGTTTGTTATGCGTGAAATAGTTTCCAATAAAAACTTGAATAATAATGACTTTTAAAAGTTTGATTTGCTAACAAAAGTCATGATTAAGCAAAAATGGAACTACTGTCTTCGTAGAAACTAGAGATAACAATAACAGAGACAACCGGCTCTGAGCTGCAATTTATAGATAACAGCTTAGTATAAATAATGACGAGCCAAATATTTTATTTACATAACGTTTAACATCCGAACGAGTAACAAGTGAACAAGTGGTTTTTATTAATATTCGAGACAAAATGTTGTTTCTACCTTTGAGTTTGATAGCAGTGGGGTTAGTACTGACTTGGTACCTAATAGGAAAGCACAATGAGAGGTACTGGAAAAAGCGAGGTGTAAAGTTCTACAGTAAAAATAAAGTGATTGGACCGTACTGGGATTATTTCTTAACGCAACGTGCATTGTTTGAGGTCTTAACAGACTTGTACAAGAAATATAGACACGAACCAGCTATCGGTATTGGTCAGTTCTTAACACCGTCAATCTTTGTCATCGATCCGCAGAATGTGCAGCAAGTTTTATCAGGTGACTTCCAGTCTTTTAACCATAGAGGCCTTGAAAGTATTGAAGGAGACCAATTGACAGACAATATTCTTATGATGAATGGTCCAAGGTGGAAGTTAATGCGACAGAATATGACTCCATTGTTCACGGCAAACAAATTGAAGAACATGTATTACATCATGGACAAATGTGCTCAAGACTTTGCGAACTATTTGAAAAACAACCCCAAGACACGTGATGGTAATTTGTTTGAAACCCTTATGATGTTCTGTAACGCTGCTGTTTGTGGGGCTATCTTTGGCATTGGATCAGAGTCAATCTTCGACACACCTTTCCTCAAGCTCGCCAAAAGCATATCGCAATCCAATTTTAAAATGAGAATGAAGTTCGTTATTTTTAGTATCAGTCCAAAGTTGTTTAAATTATTGAGATTACAAGCTTTCAAGGAGATTGAAGACTTCTTCATTGGTTCCATAAGTCAAGTGATGAAATCAAGAGAAAATGAAAATGTAAAGAGACACGACTTTGCTGAAATTGCTTTAGCTATACAGAAGAACGGTACCATGAGAGATCGTACAACAGGTTGCGAGATAGAGCCTACTACCGGCATACTCTCTGCACAGGCATTTTTCTTCTTTAGTGCTGGTGTAGAGCCTTGTGCTAATGCAATTTTTTCAACATTAATTCTTTTAAGCAGTCACCAAGATATACTAGAACGAGTCCACCAAGAAATTGACGAACATTTTGAAAAGCACAGCAACAATATCACCTATGACATTATAGCTGAAATGAAGTACACAGATAAGGTGCTGAGTGAGGCAATGAGAATATTCCCTCCAATTGGTCACTTGACTAGACAATGTGTTCAAAATACAGTCCTGCCTGTTGGTAACATACCAATAGAGAAAGGGACAAAAATGTATACCCCAATTTATGCTATTCATCACGACCCAGAATTGTATCCAGACCCAGACGTGTTCGACCCGGAGCGATTCTCCAATGATAGGAAACCTAAAGACAATATTTACATGCCATTTGGCATGGGCAACAGGACATGCATCGGTGAGAGGTATGCCAAATTACAAGTGCAGGCTGGTTTAGTTCATGTCTTACGGAACTTCACTGTCAAACCGCAGAAACATGTAAAGGTAACATTTGCTCATGATCCACTTAACGTGAGACCGAGAAATTGCGATGTCCAATTAATTCCCAGAAATATCAAATAGTTATTTTAATTGTATTTTAACTTATTGCAATCATTCTATTGGTTGCGGTTCGCATCGTGTACTGTGCAAGTTCTATCATGTGCTTGATAGAACTTGCTCAGTCTAATATACAAGGAGACAAAATGTTGTATATTATGATATTTAAACTAAAGGAGTATGTCTACTTTGTAGTTTGTAGTAGAGGGACACCTCTACTGCCGATGTTTATTGATTAATAATTCTAATTGACGATGTTGTGATAGCCTAGCAATAGTTCAATATATTCAATTTGTTATATTCATTGGAATAGAGATTGTGAAAATAATTAGAACATTGTTAATCACTTTAAATGCTTTAGCCAACATCTCTATGTTGTGTAATTTTATACTTATTTGAAGACATTATTAGGTCACTATATTATGTCATATTGCAGTACTTACTAGTGTTAAGTTTGTATTTTGAAGTAGTTTTTAAGAATCAAATTTAACTCGTAATTCGTAATGTTTATAATTAAACTTAATAAATGTTATAATATATTATTACTTTGAAGTTTTTTGTTTAATTAACACACACAAACGCAAGACTTTTTCTAAAAATACTCGTACTATGTACCATGTCTTTCATTTCTCGAACACGCCTTGTAAGCAGAGGTAGACTTGTTAAAGGCAGCACTTACTTATATACCATTAGTTAATTCAGCTGTGTTACTAACCTAATAAAGCAAATATGTAATACGCAAGTTTGACCCGTCATTTTCTAGCCAGAAATGTAGTTACTAATATGACTACCTAACGTCTTTCCTTTTTGTTATTTATTTATTTACTCTTTTTGCACAATGGGTACACAATGGCGGAATTAATGCCTAGTGGCATTATCTAACAGTAAATCTTAGGGTTATGCAGAGAGACACAATAGTAGGTGTAAAAGTTTAAGATTCTTGTGTGTTTGTCGCCGTCCGTCCTATTCGTACTTTATTCATATGTATGTATTTCCACAGGGTTCGCACTTAGGACCATTTTTTGGATGGATGTTATATGACTGCTTTCAATTCATATACGTAAAATATTTGTTTCAACTGAGTATTAGGTACTTGTTAGGTTAAGTTGGTATATGTGGCGCCTGCTATATTAATAAGAATAGATAATTAATTGATAAGATTGTAAAGTAAAAAAAAATCCTGTTGGCAACTCATTGCTATGTAAATACCAATAGATATAATTAACCTCTTGAGTGCCGCTATATGAGACACAATAGTTAACTATCATTGTGTCTATATGTCTATACATTAGATCTACGTTCCGGCGTACCACGGGTTAAGACATTTAGCCAATATAACTTTGACAAAAAAGTTTCAGTCCATGTTTAGGCAGCCCCTTTACTTCATATCCATAAGAATATGTAACGTGAAGCTTTCTATCAATAAACATATTTTTTATTTATTTATTTATATGTTTATGTTATAATCTTTTTCTTTATTTTTTTTAACTCGTCGAGTACCGTAATTATAGACACAATTAAAGAAAAATAGGTTGCGGTCACCGGTTCACGTCATTAGGATCGCCAAAATGTATGAAATTCTAACTACTTCCTTTTAGTAGTTTAAGTAACTACTATAGTAGTAAAGGCTACTATAATAAATAAAGGGTTTTGTAATTGCAAGATATTCTAAAACTTACCGCATCATAATATCGCTTGGGGCACGTGAGGGAACGAACCCCCGCACACCCCAGCCGTTGCAAGAGACTTGGGCGTAAGAGATTGGGAGAGAGTAAGCGCAGACACTGCGGACGGCGAACATGATGGTAGCTCGCCGTACTACTAGAACAAGACCCGAGCGTAGGACCTATATGCGATACGGAGTAGCAGAAGACTTGACGGGTTAACAGGGCTCCGGTTCAAAGAGCTGGAGTAGGAACGGGGTAGTATTTAGTCAGTAAGAGTGTGACGCTTCCTCATGGTTAGGTGAGGCTCAGACAGGAAGAGTCATTGGATGTTGTTACCCCTTCAAAATCATACTCAAGTTCAGAATAGAAAACCGTAGAAAAAATTGATGGAACATCCATAGTCTGACAACGTGATTGGTCGAAAGTTTGATTGGTCGAAGAGTAAAATCTTTAGACTTTTTAATTGTTCAAATATTAAGCCATAATACCTAGTGAATGCCTATATGCTCGTTCTATATTCATGGGATTTAGATAATAGATAATAATAATTTAATTACCAAATTTAAGCTACAATTAGTAAAGCTATTTAACTAATATACAGATAAGAAAATATAGACTAATCTAACACAGAGACAGATACCATGGGTTGGCTACTCAGTGGACCAATAGTTACAAAAGATATGGCTATACTATTAAACAGTATAAAGTTCAGTATAACCATAGCTATTGTCTCTGTTGTAAATTAATGTTTATTTTCTTACCTTCATACTTCTAAGGTAAAAACTTGATACTTGAGAAAAAAAGTTTATTGAAATATAATTATTATCATTGCAAAGTTTTCACACAATAACGTAATGCGCGTTCCAACTTTTAATTCAAATTAACGTTCAACTTTTTGGGCGGGAAACATAACTAATCTGTCACAGTTGACAGTTGACAGCGTCAACATGACAGCTAGTGCTGCCCATAACATATTGGACTAACTAGTGACGTTCAATTAGTTGATTCTCGTAGTCTACTAAATAACTTAGCTGACTGACTGTACATTACCGTACATCTCTCCCTATCTCTTAAGCAAATCGAAAGGACTGTTATTTATATTCTTTTGTTAATCGACTTAAAAAAAATGTGGGTTTCTGTTTCACCTGCATGTATGTATATTTGTGCGCGATTATCTCGCGATTGGCAGAACTGATTTTGATGCGGTTTGCAGAAAAGTGGTTGTTACACTTAGGAGAAGGTAGGTGTACTATACTAATTTAACGACTTCAAAAAAGAAGAGGTTGAAGGATTATTCAATTAAATATATAAGAATTATTCTCTGCCTACCCATTCGAATTAAAAGTCGTGGGGTTCTGGAGCTATCTGCGTTTAGGTCACAGAAGTAGAATTTTCATATAACATATTATCTGGAGAAAAGTGTGTTACTATTAATGTATGCCAATAAAACATCAAAGTAAGTATATAAATGATTTATTAAACTGTCAAACACCAAGCGGTCACCGGTGACCGCAACCTATTGTTCTATAATTGTGTCTACAAAACCGGTACTCGACGAGTTAATTAATTAATTGAGTATTTAAGAAATTTTACAACAACTTAAAGTCGTCAAGAATCACGTCCACATCCAAAAATAATTTCAAATAACAATAGTTAGGACATTAATCAATATTTTCTTTATTACTGACTAAGTTCTAAAATCGTTCTTTAACAATGTGCTTCAGCTTATTCCTTATCATATTTATTTATTATCACATAGTCACATCATCCTTATTAATATCATTATACACGATAGCGCGTGATACAAAATTATATTTACTTAAGTCTAAATTTTTATCAGTATTTACAAATAAACTAAATCGATAACAATTTTATAAAAAACAAACATGTAAATTGATTATCATATTGATCACACTAAACCATTTGTACTATTATTATTATTACCATTTATTTCAATCAATTATATAGATCATTAATTACGCATCTATTACACATAACAAACCATAATACAATATAAAAGTCACAATCACATATTAAAAATCACAATCACAAGTCAGTCATCACTAAAATAATCTCCCAACTCAAAACAATAATTTCACATTAGCCAGTACATGAACCATACAACAGTGGTTCATGTACTGACAGTCAAAACGTTCAGCAAAGGCGCTCAGGATACTATTGCGGCTGCCCCGCACCCTGTTCACTAATGACGTGCACCGCTCGCGCATGATTGTGTTGAAGCTATGCCCTGTCAGTATTACTATTGCGCCTTCATTGGCCCTTTATCATGCCAACCATCTTCAACATACAACATGTCTTCCTTTAGTTAGACAACTTGAGTGTCTAATTAATCACAATAAAGACATGGCAGGTGAAGAATTATATTTTTTTATATGTCACGATGTTTTTTCATGATCATATCACGCAACAGTCTCATATAGTGTTCCAGTAAAAGAAAGCTTATTGTTTCCTCCTCTAGATATACAACACCAGGCGAAGTCAACCATAAGAATTTAAAATAATAAAATTAAAATCCTCAACATATCCAAGAAACCTTTTAAATGTTTCTCGGAATGATTTGCACATCGATATTTCTTGGTCTCACATTAAGTGGATCATGAGCAAATATTACTTTTTGATGTGTCTGCGGTTTAACAGTGAAGTTTCGCAAGACATGAACTAAACCAGCCTGCACTTGTAATTTGGCATACCTCTCACCGATGCATGTCCTGTTGCCCATACCAAATGGCATATAAATGTCATCTCTGGGCCTCCTATCCTTAGAGAATCTCTCCGGGTCGAAGACTTCTGGATCTGGATACAATTCTGGGTCGTGATGAATAGCATAAATTGGGGTGAACATTTTTGTCCCTTTTTCTACTGGGATGTTACCAACAGGCAGAACTGTGTTTTGAACACATTGTCTAGTCAAGTGACCAATTGGAGGGAATACTCTCATTGCTTCGCTCAGCACCATATCTATGTATTTCATATCACAAATAACATCGTAAGTTATGTTATTGCTGTGCTTTTCAAAATGTTCGTCAATTTCTTGATGAACTCTTTCAAGTACATCTGGGTGACTGCCTAAAAGAATTAATGTTGAAAAGATCGCATTAGCACAAGGCTCTACACCAGCAGTGAAGAAGAACAATGCCTGTGCAGAGAGTATACCCGTCGTAGGCTCTATCTCGTATCCTGTTGTACGGTCTCTCATGGTACCGTTCTTCTGTATAGCTAAAGCAATTTCAGCAAAGTCGTGTCTCTTTACTTTTTCTTGTTCTCTAGATTTCATCACTTTACTTATTGAGCCAATAAAGAAATCTTCGTACTCGTTGAAAACTTTTAATCCTAATAGGTTAAACAACTTTGGGCTGAGATTGACTAATATGAATTTTAACCTGATACTAAGATTGGATTGTGACAAGCTTTTGGCAACCTTCAGGAAAGGTGTGTCGAAGATTGACTCTGATCCAATGCCGAAGATAGCTCCACAAACTGCAGCATTACAGAACATCATAAGAGTTTCAAATAAATTACCAGCATGGGTCTTTGGATTGTCTTTCAAGTACTGCACGAAGTCTTGGGCGCTTTTATCCATGATATAATACATGTTCTTCAATTTGTTTGCCGTAAACAATGGAGTCATATTCTGTCGCATCAGCTTCCATCTTGGACCATTCATCATAATAATGTTATCACTCAATTGGTCCCCTTCAATACTTTCAATGCCTCTGTGGTGAAAAGACTGGAAGTCACCTGATAATACTTGCTGCACATTCTTCGGATCGATGACAAACAGTGTCGGAGTTAAAAATTGACCAATACCGATAGCTGGTTCTTGTCTGTATTTTTCGTATAGATCGCCCAAGATTTCAAAAAATGCACGTTGTGATGTTAGGAAATCCCAGAATGGTCCAGCCACTTTATTTTTGCTATAGAACTTTACACCACGCTTTTTCCAGTAGCCCTCATTGCGCTTTCCTATTAGGTACCAAGCCAGTAGTAAGCCCACTGCTATAAGACTTAATGGTAGGAATAACATTGTGTCTTCACTGTTACGAGTTATTACAAAAATCACAACAAACACTTGCTAATTCGTTAGTGGTTTTACATAATATGAAGATAATAATATTTTGCTCGTTATTTATACTCAGCTGTTATCAGTGGTAGCCACGGATAAGTGTTCCGAAGATATCTCTAGTTTTCACCGGTTCTATCATTCTTATTTTTGCTGAGTCATTATTTTGATTGCTATTTAAATAACATTTTTGAAAATCATTGTTATTCGGTTTAAATTAGTCAAAATACCTACCTGCTGATCAGTTATCTTTTTGTTACCAAACAACAAAAAGAAAACAGTCATGCAAAATAACATTTTTTTTTGTTTATTATCTGAAGATGTAAATGCACACATGTCTTACGAGAAGCATATTTTATTTTGTTGTATTTTTCATTATTTTGTTTTTAATTTTTATTAAATAAAATTTGCACAAACATTTTATCTTGATCTTCTATCTTTCGTTTGATTTAGTTAGGACTTAAGGACTGTACTGTTGGCGTGGTGGCTAGGCAGCCAGTTGCCGCGCAACGTGTACCGGGTTCAATTCCCGCACGGAGCAACTTTTGTGTGATCCACAAACTGTTGTTTCGGGTCTGAGTGTCATGTGTATGTGATATTGTATGTTTGTTTGTGTGAGGTAACGTTAAAAAAGGTACAAATAAACATTGTCTCATGGGTTCATTGATGCCTTGATCTGCTAGGGTAGGATAATAGGCATTACGATATTAACAACATTCATCAGTGTTGACTTTGTTTGGACTGATTACACATAAGGACAAAGACTAGTAATAAATTGAAGCTCCGTCTGGAGCTGCGAACATAATGTAGTTGAGAGAAAGTTTGGTGAACAAACGAAGAAACTTGAGGCTTATTGTGTGCACTGCGGCAACGATAACTTGTGTCATTACTCGCACTCGAGATAAAGCCATGTTAATATTATAAATGTGTGTGCATGTCTGCTTGTCTGTATTTCATACCAAGGATTAATTTCAGGGGTTTACGTAGTTGGAGAACTGGCGTACATTATGTTTTTAAGTTCTTTTTCACTGATAAAGCGTCTCAGTTTTGCTGGAAAACGTTATTTGGTATTATGAACACCTACCAATAGATGGCGCTGGTTTGTTATTTTCAATTTCTTTCTGGGTGGATATTACTTGTACAGTCCGGTATTAATATTAATTTATTTATTGTAAAATATTAATAAAAGTAATAATCATCATTAACGTCCACTGCTGGACTGGGTAAGACCTCTCACTTTGTCTAGTCTAACTGATGGAAAGAACCATAGTACCTCTAGAATACTAATTATAAGGAAAATATTCTGTCAAGTAGGTATTCTAAAGTTCTAGACTTCGCGGAGAACCTAACGGGTAACCGCGGCTCCGGCTCGACGTGCACAAGAAGGAACGGGGTGGTTTTTAGTCAGTAAGAGTCTGACACTCCATCCCGCCTCACCCAGGCGGGAGCAGTCATTCTATAATTTTAATTAAATAAAAAGACTGCACGGTTGGCGTAGTGGCTGAGCAAACGGCCACCGCGCAACGTGTCGCGGCTTCGATTCCTGCTTTCCGCAGGGAACAACTCTTTGTGTGATCCACAGATTGTTGTTCCGAGTCTGGGTGTCATGTGTATGTGAAGTTGTATATTTGTAAACGCACCCACGATACAGGAGAAATCCTAGTGTGGGGCAAGGTTTAAAAAAAAACAAGCAAACAAAACAAATAATGGTACCTTGCGTCTAGAACATACTATTTATCGGAAATCACGTTAAATTAAAGAAAATTAAATATCCATTGTGTTAATAATATTTGTTTTATGATATCATAGGTCGTCGAAGGTTCCATGTATTCTACCGGTTCGTGTGGTAATTTGATATTTGGATTTTCGATTATTTTACGCTCAACAAGTGTTAATATTTATTTTATGTTGTCACATTTGATCAAAGGTTCCATCCAGTCCAGGTTTTTTTGATATTTGATCGAAGTTTGGTGTGGCTTAACAAAGAGCATGTAATTAAATTCAAATTGGAATAAAACAGCCATTTTTTATGGCATAAGCCGGTAAACGAACAGACGGATCACCTGATGGTAAGCAATCAGCGTCGCCCATGGACACCTGGAACACCAGAGGCGTTACAAGTGCTTTACCGGCCTTTTGGGGATTAGGAGTTTGAGGATCGTTGGGGATTCAGGAATTGGGGAGATTGGGGAAGGGGAGGGTAATTGGGCCTCCGGTAACCTCACTCATACGACGAAAGCGTTGCTTCACGTCGGTTTTCTGTGAGGCCGTGGTATCACTCCGGCCGAGCCGGCTCATTCGTACCGAAGCATGGCTCTCCCAGACTTTATAAAACCATGTTATATAATCACTAAATTATAAATTAAAATGCCATTATTTATTTATTTAGTGTTTATTGTACAAAACTCGATTACATAATGGATTTAATGCCATAATAATGTCATATACCAGTCAACCTTAGGGATTAAGTAGAACATCTGTAGATTATGTGCTTGGTCTTTCTCCTTTCACGTTGCAGTAACGGAGAGTTTTTAACAGACTTCAAAAACAGAAGGAGGATCTCTGACATACAGGATGTATATACTATAATGTTCGCGATTATCACGCTATTGGCTAAACCGATTTTGATGTGGTTTTCAGAAAAGTATTTGTTACACTTAGGAGACGTTTTAGTATATGTACAAATAAACCGACTTTAAAAAAGGAGGGGATAGTAGTCGTTTTTTTAGGCGAAGTTTATAAAAAAAATATTATGGTATGTTTTTTACTGAAGACTGCCCCGTTGGCCAAGTGGTAGCAAATGCGACTGCCGGGCACGAGGTCTCGGGTTCGATTCCCGGGTCGGGCAAAGTATTACTGGGTTTATAAATAAATCAGTAGCAGCACAGAGTCTGAAATGTGCCCGGTATATGGAAATATCAAATTACCACACGACATTTGGCAATAGGCTCACCCCTACCTCGTTGTGCCCCGTATATGGCATTAGACTCACCCCCTATTACATGGGACTCATAACATAAATAGTCAAAAGTGGGAGTTACATTGTGCAGTGGCATTAAGTGCCGTAATGTGCACCTCTGCCTACTCCTTCGACCAAGTAGATGAAGCCATGCCGTGGGCGTAAAACCAGTGCTTAATAATCTCGTTCAGACAAACAGATAGCCAAACACTGGAGTAGTTTGTTCTATAATAAAATTAATATTGTATTATGCAATGTATGCCATTATCAAATAGTTTATAGCTGAGTTCAAGAGATAACAGCTGTATATCAATCGGCGTCAACTCAAGGTCGACGAGTTTTTTGCTTCCGATGCAAACGACGAGGTATTTATAAGTTTGTTGTACCATTTTGACCTTGATGTCGTAATTATCGTATCGGTGTTTGATCCCAATATCGGATTGCGTAATGTGAAAATGCTCTTAATAATAAATGTAATATTCCTCTAAGATAGCTTATGCTTCTACAGAGGTTTATGTATTATATTTTGCTTTTAATATTTAATGAAAAATAATAATAAAACAAAACTAAATTTTTCGTCAGTATTAAGTACTATATTTCTATTTTTATAATACCTACATGCCATGTTTGTTTTAATTAATATACCGGTAAACGATACAATTTTGAATTAACTGATTTAATGATTTTATTTTATTGTCTATCTATGTCATTCAATTATTTAATAGGATAGAATAGGATAATAGGATTGGGATAAAATAATATATTAACACAATATTTTATAAACGCATAACATTTACTAAGTTGACAAGTTTTTTTAAACCAAAACAAAATAACAGTGCGTACAGACTACATTATAATGATATTACCAGTTAATCTTACAGTACTACAATATACATAATACACGTAATAATACATTGTACAGTTGAACAAAAAGCCATTTTTTTACATCAGTAATCAGTCAATGCCCCCCATCAGTCAGTTATGGTGAATTTGGGGAAAATACCACCTCCCACATAACAGGAATGTCCTTCACATAAAAATATTTGGTATCACTAGTTGTAAAATTTAACTAAGTATTAATTTAGAGGCGGAGTTCCCCCTGTTCTTTGATACGTGAAAGTCTATTTAATTGCTCGAGGAATCAACTCAAAACCGATATTTCTGAGTCTTACATTAAGAGGATCATGCGCAAATTTCAACTTTCCACTGGTTTTCGAGAGTTGAACAGTGAAGTTACGTAAGACGTGCACCAAGCCAGCCTGCACTTGCAACTTGGCGTACCTGGCACCTATACACGTCCTGTTACCCATCCCAAATGGCATGTAAATGTCGTCGTTAGGCCTCCTATCCTTGGAGAACCGCTCAGGGTCAAACACTTCTGGGTCTGGATACAATTCTGGGTCATGATGGATATCATAAATAGGTGTGAATATTTTAGTTCCTTTCTCCACTGGAATATTACCGATCGGCAAAACAGTATTTTGAACACATTGTCTTGTCAAAAATCCAATGGGAGGGAAGATTCTCATCGCCTCACTTAATACCTTTTCCGTATACTCCAGATCACAAATTACGTCATAAGTTATATTGTTGCTATGTTTTTCAAAATGTTCATCAATTTCTTGATGCACTTTTTCTAGTATATCTGGATGAGAGCTCAGGAGATACAACGTCGCATAGATCGCATTAGCACAAGGCTCTACACCAGCAGTGAAGAAGAACAATGCCTGTGCAGAGAGTATACCCGTCGTAGGCTCTATCTCGTATCCTGTTGTACGGTCTCTCATGGTACCGTTCTTCTGTATAGCTAAAGCAATGTCAGCGAAGTCGTGTCTCTTAACATTTTCTTGATCTCTTCGTTTCAACACTTCACCAATTGATTTAACAAAGAATTCTTCATGTTCTTTGAAAAGTTTAAAACCTAACGCCGTATAAATTTTCGGGCTCAAAGTGTAGAATATGAATTTCATTCTTACCAGTATATTCGATTGTGATAAGTTTTTGGCAAGCTTGAGGAAAGGTGTATCAAAGACTGACTCTGATCCAATACCGAAGATAGCTCCACAAACAGCAGCATTACAGAACATCATAAGCGTTTCGAATAAATCACTACGCTGCAACTTGGAGTTATTTTTTAAATACTGCACGAAGTCTTGAGCACTTTTGTCCATGATGTAATACATGTTCTTCAATTTGTTTGCCGTAAACAATGGAGTCATATTTGATCGCATCAGCTTCCATCTTGGACCACTCATAAAGGTAATGTTGTCTGACAAAGTGTCTCCTTCGACGCTTTCGATTCCTCGGTGATTAAAAGATTGGAAGTCACCTGATAGCACTTGTTGCACATTGTTCGGGTCAATGACAAACAGTGATGGAGTTAAGAATTGACCGATGCCGATCGCTGGTTCTTTTCTGTATTCTTTGTACAGTTTTCCGAAGATCTCGAACAGGGCATTTTGTGATGTCATGAAGTCCCACATGGGTCCCACTACTTTGTTTTTGGTGTAGAATGTTACACCACGCTTCTTCCAATAATTTTCATTGTACTTTCCAATGAAGTACCACGCCAGAACTAGAGTGACTAGTACTAATGTTAATGGTAATAATACCATCGTAATGTATTTTTGGACGCGCGAATAAACACGAGCGACTTATCAATTGTTTGAATATACAATGTGGTTGAATAATCGGCGCGCAATACTTATACTTGGCTCAGACTCGTTATCACGCTTGTTTGTTTAAACTGTAGGTATGTGGCTATCTGTGTATCCAACTGGTGTGACCACCTACGAACAAAATCACGTATTCATCGTGACTTTGTCGGGGTTTTTGTCCTTGCTGAGCATCTATTTCTTGTTAGTGTTTACTACTACGTATTATAGTTTTTCATTGCCCACATGGTTTTATGATTTACTTTTTTTGTGTTAGCAACTACGTATTAATCCGAGAACCATCAATATCTAATTAAGTTTATGTTTAACCAGCTTCATAAGGTTATTCCCCGTGATCTATGTATATGCTTATGTATGTAGATATAGATTAGAGGATTAACTCGTTGAGTACCGTCGTTATAGACACAATTAAATAACAATAGGTTGCGGTCACCGGTGACCGCGCGGTGTTTGATAGTTTAATTGTATTTTACCTTCAAATACTTACGATCAAAAGTAATATGAAGGCCAAATAATTCTTTAACTGTTATAATAATAAGTAATTAATGTAATAATGACAACATTGCCAAGAAGTTCCATTTAAAATAATAATAATATGAGCTGATAAAAAATAGAATTGCTTAAATGTCGGATTTATTGAGAAATCGTATAAAATGCTTTGATTTAATCAAACCTTGTCAAATGTTTCAATTCAAGTAGATTTGATTTGAGCAGAGCTTTCATCAGTATTCGATCGAGAAAAATACAAGTATGACGTATCTTTCAAGATATACTAAAGAATAGAATATAGCATAGATAGAAGATATAGACAATAAAGTAGCCTCACTCACACGGCGACACATCAGCGCTAGTTCATGCTCATTCTCTGCGAGGTCAACAGTCAAAGTCAAAGTCAAAATCATTTATTTCAATAAGACCAGACAGGCACTTTTGAATGTCAACAAAAAAAATTAAAGTGAAGCTATTTGCTCATTCCAATGTGTAGATTCCTGGTAGATCGTGGTATCACTTCGGTAGTACCATCTCATCCGTGCCGAAGACACAGATTACATAAATTTTGTTTAGAGTCCAAATTAAATAATGTAGTTAAGGACTACTTTTGCATCAATTACGAGAGTTGGGTCGCAAAAACTTCGTGTTTACTCGAAACTACTAGTGAACGATGCTAACAATGTGAGCGCAAAGCTATTTACACACCAAAACGAGTACAGAAAAAGCAGCATAAATACCCCGTAATTCCTGTGTACAAGTATTATACACATACACAAATACGTAGCCATGTACTATGTTACAAAAATGCCTGAAATTTAAGCAACAGAACGTGAAAGTTTTCGTAAAATCACTGAACGATTTGAATATTCTGCATGCAAGTATTTAACGGTGGCTTCCATGTAATTTGTAGACAATAACACTGATGATGTATGCTGCAGTTTGTACACATTTTGAAAATAAACAGTATTTTTAATATTCGTTCAAAAATGGACATATTCATGCACGGGCGCCGTCAACTGGGATTGGTCAGTTCAAAACTGTATTATTTACTGTCGGTTATTTTCTTTTTCGATCTCTTTGACGTTCTTTTTAAGGGGGAAAATCATAGAATGACTTCTCCCGCTTGAGTGAGGCGGGAGCGAGTGTCAGACTCTTACTGACTAAAAACCACCCCGTTCCTACTCATGCACTTCGAGCCGGAGCCCCGGTAACCCGTTAGGTTCTCCGCGGCGCCGTATCGGAATCAGCCCTATTGGGCCCCATCCGTGGTGGTCTGGTTGCTCTTTGAGGCGCGCGCGAAACGCGACGCGCCTTACGCTCGGGTCTGGTTCTGGTTGGGCGGCGAGCCACTCATGATCGTCGTCCGCAGGCCCGTGCTTACGGTGGCCGGAGATCGTCTCGCGATCCCTGACGCCTGGAGTGTTTTTCGCGACGGCTGAGTTCGATCTCTTTGACTGGATTTTGGTGTTGTATTGTTCTCACACAATCCATACAACAAAACCATGTAACTAGAGAATTGTATTGTGAACCTGATTGAAAAAGAGTACGTATGGAGTTTCTTGCTCGTTCTTCTCCATAGGAATCTACACCTAATTGAAATAAATTGATAACACGGTTAGTATGGTGGCTGGGCAACTGGCTGCACTGCAACGTGTCGTGGATTCGATTCCCGCACGGAACAACTCTTTGTGTTATCCACAAATTATTGTTCCGGGTCTGGGTGTTATGTCTATGTGAACTTGTATGTTTGTAAACGCACCCAAAACACAGGAGAAAATCCTAGTGTGGGGCAAGGTTTTCTTTTTTTCAAACATTGCGTTTGACTTTGACTTTGAATTAACGAGATTTCAATTTTTTGTACATTCGTACGTTTATAATGGACTCGTAATGTAGTCCTAAGTTTTTAAACAACAATACCTTTAATTATTATGATTTTTTCTCTTTCTCACGTAACTGTTTGACAAGGAATTCGACTAGTTTCATGGTATTCTAGAGGCTCACATTCATGAGCACCATTGAGTAAGCTGAAAAAAATGGTCGCCTGTAAAGTCGTTTTTACGGGCGAAAATTTTACGTGACAACGTCTTTTTCTCGGTAGAATATTTATTGATATGAATATAATTAAATTGCACAATAGGCACAAGGAATTGAATGAACTAGTGCTGCGCGCGCGGCAGACCGATCATAGTTGAGTGGGAGAGAGACGCAAGGCATTCGGCGGGCCTCTCTCTCGTTCGGTGACTCATCGTAACGTTACCGAGCGTTACACTTTTTCATAAGTGACTCCCAGACGCAACCTAATTTAAGACGTTGTCACGTCAAAATTTTATAATAAATTTAGTATGTCCCTCGAAAGTATTGCGTATTATTTGTATTATTTTGTGGAATAGTCACAGAATTAATTAATGGAAAATTTCAGATTGATACTTGTTATTCAAATATTTCTAAGTATGGTGTTATTATTGTTCAAACCTCTTTATGTATTATGTCAAAACTTAAACTGTAAACAAAATAGTTTAAGGGATTTTCTCTTCTAATATTTTCACAACTGGTATATAAAACCTTAGAAAGAGACGGACACACATCCTTAGAATATACGGTTAATAAAATAGGTATAAAATGGCGCTAACTACAAATCACAGTGAGTCAATGTTTTAGCTCTTCGTGTTACTAGCTTTTGCACAAATGCCATTGTATATTGCATCACAAAATTAACATCGTTTTAAGTTGATGACTAAATCTGATATTTCAACGCCCCCCGTATCAACAAATAATCTATAGATACCTACTAAAGTAAAAATATTGGTTTGAAATGAAACATTATTTCAACGTTGATAGGATGATTATCTCTACACCACTTAGAAACAGTGTTACTAACGAATGCTATAACTGTGATCAACAGTTTGTGTGTATGTTACGTTATTATGCATGAACAACTGAGCCGTTAACGTTGAAATTTTGTTCAGTAATAGATTGACATTGTAACATTTGACAATATCAAGAACGGTTTATATACATTGTAAGTGTGGGAGAGCCATGGGCCGGCTCGACCGGAGTGATACCACGGCCTCAAAGAAAACCGAAGCGAAACAACGTTTGCGTTGTATTTCGTCGTGTGAGTGAGGTTACCGGAGGCCCAATTACCCTCCCCTTCCCCAATATCCCCAATTCCTGAATCCCCAACGATACTCAAACTCCTAATCCCCAAAAGGCCGGTAACGCACTTGTAACGCCTCTGGTGTTCTCGGGGTCCATGGGCGTGTTTCGTCGTGCAAGTGAGGTTACCGGAGGCCTAATTACCCCCCTCCCCTTCCTTTCCTCAATCTTCCCAACCCCTGAATCCCCTACAGTCTTCAAATTCCTAATCCCCAAAAGGCCGGTAACGCACTTGTAACGCCTCTGGTGTTCCCGGTGTCCATGGGCGACGCCGATTGCTTACCATCAGGTGATCTGTCTGCTCGTTGACCGGCTTATCCCATAAAAAAACATATTGAGAAAAGCTCTACTAGTTTTCGGTCACAGAGGGACTCTTCCTCTACTATTTCTCAGTATAGTTTCGTGAGTAAACGTGCAAAAGTGTCTCACGACAGTTATTTTACAAATTTGGGAACACCATATCTGTATACGAACTAAGTCTTGGATTAGCACTGTGTATACATACATATATAACATCACGCCTTTTATTACCGAAGGGGTAGGCAGAGGTGCACATTATGCCACTGTACAATGGAACACCCACTTTTCACTATTTATGTTATGAGTCTCATGTAATAGGGGGTGAGCCTATTACCATATAGGTACACAATTCCAGCCTCCGTGCTACTATTGATTTTTTTTTAAAAACCCAGTAGTACTTTGCCCGACCCGGGAATCAAACCCGAGACCCGAGCCCGGCAGTCGCACTTGCGACCACTCGGACAACGAGGCAGTCAAATTAGCACTGTGATGTTGTATTATGCTGCATACTCATGTGACTGTTAGACGAGGTTGCTTGATTGATTTCAAAGCATGCAAAGGGCCCACAATCATGACCCATTACAACGGCAAGCCTTGCGCATAAAAACTTCTCGTGGGCGTGGCTGAATATAAGTCTAGATACCTTTAATACCTATTATAGATATAATAATAATTTAATTAACCGTGGGACGTCCTTAAAATGTCAAACACCGCGAGGACACCGGTGACCGCAACCTATTGTTCTATAATTGTGTCTATAATAATAATAATAAATAATAATAATGACGGTACTCAACGAGTTAAATTGTCAAATACCGAGCGGTCACCGGTGGCCGCAACCTATTATTGTTCTATAATTGTGTCTATAATGACGGTACTCAACGAGTTAAATTGTCAAATACCGAGCGGTCACCGGTGGCCGCAACCTATTGTTCTATAATTGTGTCTATAATGACGGTACTCGACGAGTTAAAGTTGTTTCCAAGTTAAAACAACAAATCATCGTTACTAGTTATAACGGTATTCATAATACCTACTCCGTTTGTTAAAGGCATAAACAATACCT